TAGTATGTATTTGAAAGAGCTTTTCATACTCTATCTAACGATGCCACGCGCGTCCATTTTCGTCATCTCTTTCCTGAGTTATGATCACTAGAAATCATCACTATCTTTTTGTCCGAGGACTTATGACACAACCTAATACTATAAACGTTATTATACAACTCACAGCTTCACAAAATCACATCGATACCGGACGGATGGCTTATCACTTTGAACCTGCGTCCTGAAGAGCTATGAACAAATTATTTTCGGAAGACATTTTGTTGAGTGCACAACACACATGAAGCGTTGTGGGGTGTCGATTGTCGCGAACGAAAAGATGCCGGATGGATTTTTCTGTTCTCATGTGAGTGATATTCGCTGTGAGCTAATACATCACATATGAACTTTATGTTGCTTGAGGAAGAAAATAGACATACGCAAGTCAGATATCTTAATGGCAGGAGGTAAAATGGAGGATGCTGATCTTCAGCGATTACTCATCCCATTTGTAGTATGCACCACCCTTATTCGACGTATGTTGGCCTTCTCAATGCTTATATCGCTTATTCAATGACTTGTGGAGTACAGCCAGCGACCAACCGACGTACACGACAGTGGTTTCATGCTCCTTGAATATGGTAATATTTAACCGACCTCAGAGGGAAGGAAGGCACGGTTGGCCCGGGCAGATTTGATCCGTGTGCCACTTGACACAGCACCAACTTGGTTGAAAAGGTAAGATAATGATCAAAAAATCCGATTTGGCTGCTTGGTTTGCAAACATATGAACCCTCTCAACAGATGTGAGCAACCTACGAATCGTCTGCAATTTTGTGAAATTTCGGTCAGACGATTGAAGCCTACAACAAGGCAAATGACGGACATTTTGATTTAAATGCTAGGACTACGGTATCCGTAACACCTTCTGTTACGTTTGAATAAAGAATATTGGAATAATAGGATATCGCAAAATTGAAGTCTATTATGAGTGGGGCTGCTGCTTGTCAATGGATCTTGCAAATTTCGAAGAGAAATGAGAGGATCGATAAGTGGCTTATTCCTCATATCTTGTGTTTTCCTACAAACCATCGTAGTGAACAACTCGAGGCAAATTTCCAGCTATTTGCAGTAAGACAGCTCAGATCTTGCAGAAGGACCTTTATTCACTTGCGATAATAGAGGACAGATTTATGCTAATGTAGTGGATATTAACCTTGAAAAGCTAGTTGTAAAGAAATTCAGTAGATTTTGGAAACCTCTCAAGAACAAACACTACATGCGAGTCAACCTTATGTTTCACGTTTTCCGATTCTTTTGATGCGATTCGACCTGGTATAGGGAACTAGGTGCCATTGTTTGTCACCTCGCAGAAACCTGCTCTCGCACTCGTAGCGACCCGCCACTGGTTTTATATCAGGGCATTTCACTTTTGAACTCTGGGCTTGTCGTTATGCCAAGAAGACATAGCTTCTGAAAGACGGCTGGAGGTTCACAAGCCATTGCGCTGCATGACCTTAACGAGGCTGAGAAAGACCGAATTCAACAGTCTCTGGGTACGATAAGGCAGTTCTTGAATTATTATCATGATAACACTTCGGATGGCTGAGTTCGAGCTGATATTCGCAATCGAAAACTCTGAAGACCCGATTCATCGTTTTTTTTTGTGCTCCCCAACGTCTACTCCAAATGGCATATCCAGCTTGTGAGTTGATAAGCCCTTCAAACTCCTTTCACCAATTTTGTGGTCTGTTGATATGTCAACTTTTGCTTTTAATCTGTGCTCGAATCGCGCTTCCATTGGAAGCACTACCCTTCTGCCAATGTTTCACAATCGAATGAACTATAATAGTACATTGGCCTAGTTCAGTTCACCTGTTGAAAAAATGGGACAGCGATCTGAGAACATAAGAGACAGTAGCCATTAAGTTCTCCCAAGAATAATGCCTTTCGGTGTTAATCAATCCATTTCAGTTTGCGATCCACAATGTGTGCTATACAACGCCTTACAAGGGCCAATTGATGAACCAGTCCGAGCTTCTATCCTCACAAAGAAGTTTGGTGCCTTTTAACCAAGTCCGGAAAGATGGGAGGCCTAGATGAGTATGGACTCAGGATTCGATCACCGGACCGTGCATCTATGACAATGCATCACCTGCCAAGTACCAACCAACCGACTTCTCATACTCGACCCGGAAGCCGCTTCCACTAACTCTCCTGAAAAACTGGATCGTGAATCATTTTTTTCATATCAAGATGTCTGATCCGTGGCCTCTGTGCTGGTTGTCACATTTGCAGTGTCATAGAGATTTGCTCATCCACTTAAGAATGTGCCGCGTTCTCTTTCCTGTCTACGACGCGTGGTATATATACATGAGATGAACCTCGCGTGCAAACTTTTACGTGCATTTATTTATCAGATCATATTCCGTAATCAACTTATGTTTATAGTTTTGAATTAATGTTTTTGTTTATTGCTGTTGTTATATGCTGAAGGAATAAAGAGCACGGTGCTAGAAAAGGACAAGTACGGCATCGAGTACGGTCAAAAGCCATGAATGTGTCCACGACTCGAAAACCTTCTGTTCGTAGTTGTTTTACTATTACTTTGATATGATGAGTGTCCTCCCTACACCGATTATCTCAATTATTATCCTCAATTATCTTCCCTATATGAGCCGCAGTTTATTGACAATGAGCACGATGTCAGACATTTTTTGACTGTGAAATAGAGAATAGGAAAGTTCGTTCTCGGGATGAGCGGTCATTTTTCAAGCAGTAGAGTTCGGTTCAAAGCATTGGCTTCGCTTCCGCTTCCGTTTTTCACCAGGGCCTTTCAAATTCAATAAAGAGTACTCAGTAAGATATGTTTATGTGTTGACAGGCTCATATGAGGCGATTTAGTCATGTAGGAATGACAGTATGTAGCTTGACAAAATGTGCACATTGGATGATAGCGGTTCTTCATGGCCACATTCCTCTTCTAGGTGGATTTTTGAAAGAAAAAAATTCGATCACACGTCACAATTTATGTTCAAAAAAACTGGGAAGTTATCACAAAATTTTTGTGCTCCCCGTCCATCTTCCTCTTTCCCCTTTCATCCCTCTCTTAAAAGGAAGTTCCTGCCAGTTCCACAAGTGTTTGCGATTTTCGAACAGTATTTCTGTACTCTGGGGTCACTTTTTCCCATCTAATCATAGTACGACTTCTAAATTTCGCAAAGCTGGCAATCTTCGCGAGTGTTCACTGTGATGATGAAGTTGAGGAATCCCTCTATGCGAAAAAAGTTTGTGAATCTACGGTATGGAGACCTGCTTATGACTGTGAGTCCTTGGTCAAACCATAAGGCATTTCGCCCTGGTTGAAGGCACAGACTCCAGGAGTACGAGTTTCACAGAATTTTATGGTCTGTTATTCAATACAGAAAATTGATGTAAGCAGATTTGCTTCCCATTTCCAATTTGAGTGATTACATAGATTTTTGAAGCAAATTGGCTAAGCTTTTTTCCAGAGTTGAGGTTTCGCAATGTGGTAAATGAAGTTCTCTTTAACGTTCACAGTGATTCTCTCAAATAGAAAAAATTCTCGGCTGCACTCAACTTCGTACTCAGGTTTCGGAAAAAAATGTAAGGTTTTTGACCAAAAAATGTTCAACCATCACTTCTCACCTTGAAGTGAAAATCGGGCAGGTAGGAGACATGAGTATAGTTGCTTGAGGGTAGAGGAAAGGACAGAACAAGAGTGGTTTCATCTTTCTTCTCTATAAATGACAGTGAATATTGTAAATTATGAGTATCTATGGGAAAAACTGTGTGGTTCAAGCTTGAAGTATATCGACAACCAAGAGACCGGTCGAGTAAGAGGTCAGAACTGCTTCACTTGACGGATATTTGCTGTTGTCTGTTCCGTAGTGACTGTTTACTTACTTTTACGTTGACCTATGTGATTATCTCGAACTACGTAGTTGAGAGAAAGACCTTCATGCTCATTAGTGTGTTTAGAAGCCACCAACGTCCTGCATCCTTCAACTTATCTAAATACTTATAAATACTGTATTAGGCACTACTGAACATTGCTTTTTCATATATCAGTTTACTTTTACAGTACAATCAGAAGCCGTTTTTTAATGCTTGGTTATACGAGTTTCAAATACTTCTCCGCGTGTCTCCTGAATCCAAATAAGGTGCGAATGACTCGATAGCTCTTCGGGAGCCATTTTGAGATACTGATTAATGTCCTGGTTTTATAAGTAGCAATAGAAATTTATTGGTGAAGCCACTTTGTTTCCGTGCCTTTGAAATGATCAGCCTCATAGTTTGGTATTAATCAGAATCAAGCCACTAGCTTTGTCTTGAGTATTGTTTAAAGCATATCCTGTATGCCCCAACATAGAGCTACACCAAGTGTTTCCCGAATGACCTCCGATCCTTGTCGAGACCCTGCAAAAGTTAGGTGAACGACTTGCGGATGAATATTTGTCTTATTAGTTCTCAAGCCTTCCCTTTTCTCCTCACATGGAATGGGAGACTTCAAGATATAAAGACGAAGAAAAGAACAGACGGAAATGTCAGCCTCGCCGTATAAATAATGCTGCTGAGAAAAAAACAACTGTTGGTTAACAGACTCCACCCGACACTTTGTTTGAAAAGCCAGATTTAGATCGAATCCCATGTCCAGACAGTACACGGATATGTGCTCTGAAAAGCAACCGATTTTTTCCATATGATAGGGGAACGTCCATAGGGGGCAACAAGACAAAAGAAAGTGAGTGAGCACTGTTAAACTTGATTCAAAGGTTTATTAAGCCCGCCAGGAACAACAGACCTTTTCTGGAAAGTCACCTGATAATCCTTGTCCCTTCATAATACAATCCAATATTGTGTATTTCTTCGTTCGCCACTGGAGACTTCAATTCACATGTTCATGTTTCAATTCAAAACTCTCATTTGTCAGTAGATGATTTTATTTTCTCGGATGATTTTTTCTCATTTGTAGTTTGAAAAGGATACCAAGTATGATACCGATGGATGGCAACCACCTTTCAGAACAAGAAAGACATTGTGCACAACCAGGAGTCATGCCTAGGGAAGCGAGATATCCGGTACGTTGTCTCCCACTAATCTACTTACACAGTCAGTCATTTCCTTACAAAACAGCATCTTACATTCCTCGAACGTATACTAAGAGTTTTCTCGATGATTGAAGACAATGGAAGAATGAAGAATTGCTTGAGCCGTCCGGTTGTGATTCAGACCTACGTAGTTAGATATTAAGAGACGGTTCTGCGTAAAGGATGGTGATGCCTTCACTTATCGTCCGGTCCGAAGAAGGTCGCTCTACCCTGGTGTTGTTTCATGTTTGCTGATAGGTAGTTTGTGTAAATAGTTTCGAGAAAAGCGTTGTTTTCAATAAGAGTATTACGGACTTCCGCTAGCAGTATTTACCCTCCCTCGGGTTGGTTTCATCGGTCTCTCTCAGTGCACTGATAAGAGGAGAGCCACTGAGCGTGTTAGTCAAAGACCATCGAGGATCTCAGCGCAGACTTCCTATTCTATCGGCTTATCATTAATTCATCACGAAAGACATTGAGATTCCCAGCTCCTCTTTCTGTAAACCTTGGCACCGATGTTGATTTTATTACCACCCTTGCTAGAGAGGTTGCGTGCTGAATCGCTCTGTGTCGGTCGGGTCTCGACTAGGTGGTCTTTCCAAAAGCCCGTACGAGCTTCGTATTTGGGTTTGCCCTCTGAACTATGTGCACATCCCATGTGACGTCAAGCCATTTTTCTCACTAGCACTCAAGAGCGGCCCATTAACAAGTTTCTAGTCTCGTATAAATCTCAATTTTTCTTCACTCCAATTTTCGTTCTTTGCCTTCCTGCTTGTTATGAAAGGAACAAGAATGGATGGCCCATCTCTGAGAAAGTGTCTAGTAATACCGATAATAGTTAGCTGGGCTATCCAACGATTCTGAGCCATAAACAGTACAACAGGAAGGGAATGAGCTTAGAGGCCGACCATATAAAATGTTGGGAACCAGTCAAGGGTTCATAAGTGCCAGCGCTCTCTTTCAAACAAAATAGCGCTCCGCTTTGCCCTCAAAGATGAGAAAGCCAACTATCGTCAGAAATCACACAAACTTCACTACCGGAGCACCGGGATATTGTGTAATTCAACTCACCTCTGATAGACTCACATGTATGTGCTGACGATTGTGCAGCCTCTGCCTCTACAAGGCCATTAGAACAAGTTCACTTCTGGGTGTGTACGCCGGTTAAGCAGGTTTCGATGCCCTTTAAACGCCTTTCTGTGCCGTTTTTCAACCCAACAGCGTCCCCTTTGCTTTCCTAGGGGTCACGGGCTCACTCCAAGGAGAATTCTCAGAAACTATTTCGGGGAGAAGATGATCTGAATCTTAAGGCTTGAAAACATCAAGTCGAAGTCGAAGAGTGCCAAAAAGTACTGGAAATGGATCATGAAGAGTCGATCCATTCAGGACCTCTATGTTGATTATTCCTTCAGTGTTCAAGAAAGCGATATTACTCGCTACGATAATAGACCTGTGGCTTTTATCTTGGGCTGATAGCATTGACATTACAGTACAAATCGCTAAATTAGTTCTCTGGAAAGCAATTCTCTCTCTCAGTTTCTTTACGTCTTCTATTAATTTCGTATAGTTCTTTATATTCAGATTCCAGAAGCTATAATATTTTACTGTCACATGAATTGACAATGAGATTTCAGGATGGCGTTTCTCCAACCGATATGCCGGAATCGATGGATTCGCTACAACGACGGGAATCAAGGTTGTCGTTTGAGAGTGACGACATTTCCGAAATCAAAAATTGCGCGGAAGAAGGTTGGAGTCAGAACAGTGAAGCACAGTGTTACCAAAGTACAGGGTAAGTTTTGCTTTTGCTTTATTGCTTTTATATAGTTTCGACGGAAAAATTCAGTTGAAGAGGCACAACACAAATATCAGCGTACCATAAATTTGTGATTCAACAACCCGAGATGTCACACTGCAGCACCATTTGCATTAGAGCACGAGCTGTGAAGCACTCCAAGCTGCTAAAGAGAAATATAAGGTCTTACAGTAAAAAGAATAAAGCCTCCGGGCGTTGGAGCATACGTCTGATGGATGCGACGCCGCAATCGACTTCCATTCGGAATCGTAATGGCGTATTCAATGCATATGTGGGCTATCCAATGAATTGCGGTGGCCATCTGATGTGCAACTCACTGCTTTTTCCCCAGACAAGTCTGGTACCAGTTAGTAACGCCGGAGGGGTGGAAGGTTTGGTTCTCCCACGCGGATAGCTATGACGAAGGCGAAACGTTATACTAAAGTATCTTGATCTTGAAAGGCTTGAAGAAATATCCTGAAACAAGAATAGTCTGGAGAGATAAAATCTCATTTATAGGCCACAGACAAGGACGTGAAAAGGGTTTCCATCCAAACAAATTCCCTGAGCAGTCCGTAAGCACATAACTGTGTCGGTGGCTACAAGTCATTAATAAGTGACCACATCGTAGTGCACATCGAGAAGACAATTGTCAAGCTTTTATGGGGATATAGCGCTATCATAATTTCATGTACATCCATATAGGGTGTCCCAGAATTATTGGTGCCGATTTATAGCAATAAGAGGGCTGCCTTTTATATTTTGAGATTTGGCAACACTAGTGTAGCAATCTAGCAACTGACACCACTATCGTAAAGTTTGACTATTTTGAGGTTCCGTTGCGAAACTTGAGCGCGATTTGTGTTGTTTACA